AGTGCTGGGATTACAGCTTGAGCACCGCGCCCGGCATATTAACAAATTTTTTATTTCTTTTTTCTTTGAGACGGAGCTCTCGCTCTGTCGCCCGGCGGAGTGCAGTGGCCTGGATCTCGCTCACTGCAAGTCGCCTCCGGGTTTAAGCCATTCTCCTGGCTCAGCCTCGCCGAGTAGGCTGGGACTACAGGCGCCCGCCCACCTTCGCCCGGCCTAGATTTTTGTATTTGTTTAGTAGACGAGGGGATTTCACTGTGTTAGCCAGGATGGTTCTCGATCTCCTTGACCCTCGTGGATCCGCCCCGTCTCGGCTCCCAAAGTGCTCGGATTACACGCTGAGCCACCGCAACCCGGACCTATCTTTATTTTAATTTTTGAACGGAGTTTCCCCTCTTGTCGCCCAGGCTGGATGGGTGCAGTGGCTCAATCCTTGGCTCCAACCTGCAAACTCCCCTATCCCAGGTTCAAGCGATTTCTCCTTGCCAGCCTCCCTTGAGTACGCGGTGGATTGGAGGCTGCACCACCATGCCCAGCTAGATTTTGTATTTTCAGTAGAGCAGGATTTCACCATGTTGGCCCAGGCCGGTCTGGAACTCCTTGACCTCAGGTCAATCCACCTGCGCCTTGGTTCCAAAAGTGCTGGGAATTACAGGCATCAAGCCACCACGCCTGGTCCAATTTTTTTTTTTTTTTTTTCTGTTTGAGACAGCAGTCTCTTTTCTGTTCACCGCAGGCTGGAGTGCCAATGGTGCTATCTCAGCCCGGACTCGCACGCCTCCAACTCTGGGCTCAACGCGATGCCTCCTGCTCAGCCTCCCAAAACAGTGCAGAGACTCACAGGCGTGCACCCACGACCAACCTAGGGCGTAATTTTTTGATTTTTTGTTAGCAGGATGTGTTGCCCAGGCTGTTGCCCAGGCCTTAGTCTCTACAACTCCTGCCTCAAGCGAATCCTCCTAAACCTCCTACCCAAAGTCGGTGGGATTACAGGCGTGAGCCACTGCACCCCCAAGCCAAGCCTGGGACTACGCGAATCAAGGTGGCTCTTGTCAGTCAGATCTCACTTCCTCTGTCGCGCCTGGTGTCCGGTGTGGGTAACTCTGGCCGTCGTCATGGACTCTGCTGTGGCTTCCTCTCAAGCGTCTGTTTGGGTTCATCTTTAATTATTTTTGAGATACAGAGCGTCCCTCACTCTCTGTCTGCCCCAAGGCTGGACGTGCAGCTGCATTGGATCTCTGCTACTGCAACCTCCCGCTCCCGGGTTTCAAGCAATTCTCCTGCCTCAGCCTCCCAAAGTAGCTGAGCTCTACAGGCGTCCGCCACCATGGCTGGCTAATTTTTTTTCTCATCTTTTAGTAGAGACCAGAGCTTTCATATGTTGGTCCAGAGCTGGTACTCAAACTCCCGACCCTCGAGGTGATGCCCACCTTGTCCTCTCAAGTGCTGGATATATACCAGGCCGTGGAGCCACGCA